AGACAAAACCAAATAGAAAATAGTTTGGCTTAAAATTTATGTAAAAATATGCATTTTGAGGATGAACATTAATATAAATAAGATATATAAATAAAGTTAATTAATAATCATCACGATAACAACTTTTTTGGAGATTAAGAATAAAATATATATTAAGACAATTTTTTTAAGTAACAAGCTAATTTTACAACATGATCACGCAATCGCTAAATTGAACGCCTTTTTGTAAAAAATTCGAGATCACAAACATAATAATTGAAAAAAGGACAATTATTAATAGATACCTATAATAATACGATTACTTTACATTACCACTCACCGTAGACCATAATAAATAAATGTTCATTTACATCACAAAATAGATCTCCCTGAATCTTTTGATTTTTCTTTTGTAACTAATGAATAACAAATACACGAGATATTAAACATTTCATTATTTAGAATATTAAAAAAAAAAAATAGAAATAATTTTTCAATATACCTATACAGAGTGATTCAAAATTGTTACTATAAAAAATATTTATTTGTTATTAGTACCAAAAAGAAGATTGCACATTAGTTTTTCTCATCTATATTTCTTATATATCTAGAAATTTATCCGAAACTATAGGTCAATTTTTAACAAAAATTTATTCTACTCAATGAAATTAACAATTTTTTTGATGTATAATGCGTTTCCATCGAATCATTTAATTGTTATATTAATTCATTTCTAATTTATGAAATACATATGCATTAATAAATTACATTATCTCTCTAGAATATTAAAGCAGGTTTACATTTAGAAGGATCCAATGCATATCTAATGTAACAGTCACAATTTTTGAATTACTCTGTGCATATTAAAAAATAAAATTGCATAATTTTCATACTTTTTTACTATATTTAGCAATTTTGGTAAGATCTTCAATTAGTATTTTTATTATTTAGTTTTTTTTTTGGTAACGTTTATGCACTTCGTATCAAAATTTGAAAAGTAGCATAAATTCAAAATTTCTATTTTTTTCATATACAAAATGTAGGAATGATAATTGGTAATTGATAACAGCCGGAGCCTGTCAACGACACGCTGTAGCCCCATCTTTTCCAAACATTTCTTTTAATAGTGCTATGATATCTACTAATAAAATAGATTATAACACAGATAAGCTTATTATGTACCATTTCAATGTAAAAATTTAAGAACTTAAATAATAACAACAAGCAATAACAGGAAAAATAAACAAATCATTTAAAATCGAAAACAACAAAGAAAATCAATATCGAGTATTTCCGCTTCTACTCCTTATAACAAATGCACATAGGCAGCTCATACTTGAAATTAGACCCCTAATCTGGTATTGTTTGTTATTCATATTTCTAGAGACACTAGACTGGCCCTTGGGCAATTCAGATCTCAACCCTATAGGATATCTGTGAGAGAATTTGGGTAGGCAAGTTAGAGACCATCAGCATGTATCCTCGATTCTTGACAAACTCCGAAGACATACAAAATTGCATTGTTCAAGATCAGGTTAAGAATCTATTATCAAGCATCAACTGTTGATGTTGAGTCATTATCAGAAGCAGAGACACGCGATACTGACTTTCTTTATTGCTGTTTTTTTTTGCTCCATTCGTTTATTTTCCCTGTAAGCAGACTACATTTTAAGAAAATGATCATAAAAATTGATTTAGTGATTTACCAGAAAATTAATTTTGAATGGATAATTTTGACACGAAGTGTATAAAAATTACTACATATCACAAATAAATGGAAAACGTTAATCGCGCAATTTAGCTACACGCATATATAAACACAGAAGGCATTAAAATATTATAACAATTTAGAATAAATATCTAAAAAAGTTCTGTTTTTGAGAACTACCAATTTGAATTCTCTAAAAAACCCTAATTGACAATATGGATCATAACACTATTAAAAAGACTAGTCACCAGAGAAAAGATATAAATAAATAAATAAGCAAACTATTAAAACAGTAAGTTACCTACTAAAACATGACTCAACTATTGGTAGAATAAGTACATACATTACTTTGTAATGCAAAAATACTTTTGTTTAATTGTAACTGTTGATCACAGGCAAAATTACCGCCTCTCCAGTTTCCATTACAGTTTCGTCACCTACAGCAAAACTAATTACATATTTCAATTTTAACTGCAAATGATTTGGATTCGCAATAAGCATAATTTGAGTGATAGCCATTGGTGGTATAAAAGCATTGTAGGCGGGTAACTCAGTCGACGAAGGTGATAATAGTTTAACCCGGCAAGACTGAAAACAGAAGACAATTAATGTGCTGTGCATAAAAACATGTATAAATGGTTTAGTTTAAAGAAAACATTTGTCTATTGATAAGTTTGTCATTGATGTGTAACATCTTACCGCTATGGAAATGCGTTAACGGCAGTAGGGATAGGGAAGGAAAAAAACGCGCCATTCAACCAATGCTTCCTAGAGTTGGCATTTGAATGGAGAGAGAAAAAGAAAAGACAGCTTGCTAACTCAAACAACACAATTTCCATTTCCAAAAATTGTTACAATATTTTGCGCGTTACCGTTGTTAGATGTTACACATCATTGTTAATTAATGTAAAAGTCACTTTTTTGTTCAGTTTGTGTAGTATATGTTATCCATGTAGTAGGTTTTAGTAAATTTTTATTAATGTTGAATCGTCCGTCTGCAATAGTATTTTGAAGTTAGAAAATTGCAATTCTTACTTACAGAATACGAGAATTTTTTGTCTAATCTATTCCGTGAAAATTCAGTTATTTCAGAGTAATATACTGTAAAAAATGGTTTGGTAGGAACGCAAACTTATTTGTAAAGTGTTTACAAGTGTATTTTTAAAAAGTTGTATTTTCAGTTCATTTACTAATTAACCTTATGTATAATCTTTTAAATTTGGTTGTTATATATCTATGTATATTATTCAAAAACAACTCTTCCGTAAATTTTACCTTTGGGACAACAACTTGAAATAAGTAATTGTTAAGAGACTGTTTGTTCTTATTTATCGTTGTAACAACAACCACTTGTACAAACTCTTTGGGTTTATTTTTTCCAAATTGAAGAGTCACTGTAACATCCTGCACCTCCTTTAATATGGTCAAAGGGGGAATACCACTCGGTTCAATGTCTGCTAGCCTAATAAAAATATCGTCAATATTCAGGTTCCTTTTATTCTCTTCTTCTTTTATCGATTTTAAACCACTGCATTCTTGCCCTCTGAAACTACTGTCAGAACATTCACTTAAACTGTCATATGCTAAATCTTTTCCGATATCCACCAAAATTTCGTCATCTTTGTCTTCTGGTAGACAATAGTGTAATTCATCTCTTTTAGAGTCCTTATTTTCTTTGGATATTAAGTAATTTAAATCTAAGTTTAAAGCTTCAGAAATAACATCTTTGGTTTCATCTTTGCTTGCATTTTTTATAAGGGTGTTAATTGGCACTTTATCCGGAAATCTACAATGCAAATTTTCATTACAAATTATGTCCAAATAAATGACGATAATTTGCTTACTTTTTAAATGTTGTTATTACTTGGGAATTTAGTTGTTCTTTGATAAGATACTGTCCCAGTTCTCCAAGATCATCAAGTGCACTTGATTTATTAGTCAGTCTACTAACTTCTTTGCTTTTGTCACCACCTGCTAAAGAATATGGTTTATTCAATACTTTTAATAACAATTTATAATTACACATTAAGAGATATGTGGAATTACTTTAAATTTAAAGGACTACATCAAGCTTTTTCAATTCTTTTAGGGCCTTTGTTACAAATTCCTCATTAATACGACATCACGATAGTTCAACCTTCTTCCCAAACAATTTGTCTTAAATATGATATAATTTTAAATAAATGAAAAAAACACTTAACTCATAAAGAACATGGAAAAAGAAGCCCACAGTTTCATGACATTTATTAATTAACGCTAATGCTTAAAAAGCCCAAATTAAATAAAATTATTAAGAATTGATATTGTAACTCCCTCCTCCATTCGTGGCACACTTAGTAAGGCTAACTGTTACTCCATACCCTGTATCATTTTGTACTTCTAAAAAATATGTCCAGAAAGCGCCTTATGTTTTGTGTTTAAGTGTGCTACTATTAAATCGCATTTTTATTTTTTTTAAACTGTAACTATACATTTTAATTTTACATAAAATTTAAAGTTCAATGTTAGAAAATTGTGCTGTCAATAGAATTGAATAAGTTTCAAAAAAATGCCATAAATAGGAATTACATGACTAGTTACAACTGAAGCTAATAAAAGCATGTTAAGAAAATACCTTCAATCTTTTCCAAACATTTCTTTTAATAGTGCTATGATATCTACTAATAAAATAGATTATAACACAGATAAGCTTATTATGTACCATTTCAATGTAAAAATTTAAGAACTTAAATAATAACAACAAGCAATAACAGGAAAAATAAACAAATCATTTAAAATCGAAAACAACAAAGAAAATCAATATCGAGTATTTCCGCTTCTACTCCTTATAACAAATGCACATAGGCAGCTCATACTTGAAATTAGACCCCTAATCTGGTATTGTTTGTTATTCATATTTCTAGAGACACTAGACTGGCCCTTGGGCAATTCAGATCTCAACCCTATAGGATATCTGTGAGAGAATTTGGGTAGGCAAGTTAGAGACCATCAGCATGTATCCTCGATTCTTGACAAACTCCGAAGACATACAAAATTGCATTGTTCAAGATCAGGTTAAGAATCTATTATCAAGCATCAACTGTTGATGTTGAGTCATTATCAGAAGCAGAGACACGCGATACTGACTTTCTTTATTGCTGTTTTTTTTTGCTCCATTCGTTTATTTTCCCTGTAAGCAGACTACATTTTAAGAAAATGATCATAAAAATTGATTTAGTGATTTACCAGAAAATTAATTTTGAATGGATAATTTTGACACGAAGTGTATAAAAATTACTACATATCACAAATAAATGGAAAACGTTAATCGCGCAATTTAGCTACACGCATATATAAACACAGAAGGCATTAAAATATTATAACAATTTAGAATAAATATCTAAAAAAGTTCTGTTTTTGAGAACTACCAATTTGAATTCTCTAAAAAACCCTAATTGACAATATGNGGGGGGGGGGAAAGGGATATAGGTTAGATAATAATAGTAATAATTAAATAAGGGGTTACTAAAAAGAAGACCTTAAATAAGTTTAAAAATGCGTGATGTATTTCGTGGACAATAGTTCGGGAGTATTAATTATTTCATATATTTTTAAGGGAATGAAAGACATTGTGACGGAGAAAAATAAAAATAAACAAGAAGATGAAACCAGAGCCGAGTCTTTAAAGTAAGTTCTCTACTTTTAGGGTTTATACGTGCTTCATTTTTATTTTTTCAGACCAAAACGATGGGATGAAAAACTGGAAAAGCCACCACTAAACTACTCTGAAATATTTGAAGATGATGCAGGACAAATACCAGGGTTGTGCATATGGGAAATCGAAAATTTCCTTCCCAATCGCATTGATGAATGTACACATGGAAAATTCTATGAGGGTGATTGTTATATTGTATTAAAAACACTCCTTGATGACAGCGGATCATTGACATGGAAAATTTATTTTTGGATTGGCAAAAAAGCATCCGTAAGTAATAACTAATTACCCTGTTATACTAACATTTACTACTTGTTTAATTTTCAATAATGTATTTGGCAAGTATGTACAATTGTTTCACTCTGCGGAAAATATCTGAACGAGTTTGTTACACAATTGAAAACGTGAAATATGAGTTTCCAAAAAAGTATGATGGATATAGTTCAGCATTAAACAAGTTAAAATAAACCAGTAGTTTTTAATTTGAAGTATAACGTTTTTATTCAAAGTTTACAGAGAAAAATGGCAGATTAGATATTTTTTTATCATGAAATTATTCTTCAGAAGTCTTCATTATAAAACTTTTATTGCTTAAATAGGCATAAGTAACTAATAATGTAATAAAAAAAGTATTAATAGTGGTATTATGCATCATAAATAGTGTATTAAATTATTGAAAAGATGTGATGATTGGTGTCAACTTCACCCATTATTTATCATGTCATTTATTCTAAATATTGGATTAAACAAATAGTGACTGATTTATGATATTAATGTAATTCTTTAATTATAATAAATTACATTAAACCCGTAAAACAAACATTTTGTATGCAAAATGGCCAATACTGGTGTTTTGCCCTTTGTAAGAGGTTTGGATTTTGCAAGAAATGATTTTAGTGTAAGTTGTTTTTTAGTAACTACTATATGACTACCTAATACTCTTTTTTCTGAAGGATGGCAAATTCCCAGAGGCAGTTTCTTTAATGACAGGTGTGCAATGGCTCAAACTGGACCGTACAAATTTAAATGAAGTTCCCAAAGAAATGGGTCAGCTGTTAAAACTTGAACATTTATCATTAACAAGAAATAATTTAGAAAAACTTCATGGGGAATTGACAGAATTAGGTTGTTTGAGAACGTTAAATCTAAGACGTAACAAAGTAAGAAATTCAGGAATTCCTATTGAACTATTCAACTCTGAAGAACTAAGCACATTAGACTTAAGTCATAATAATTTAAAAGAAGTACCAGAAGGACTAGAAAAGGCTAAATCATTACTTGTTCTTAATTTAAGTAATAACCAGTAAGTAGCTATTTAAAATTATGTTTATATATTTATGTTGTTAATCCCCTTTGTAGAATTGATTCAATACCAAACTCTCTTTTCATAAATTTAACAGACTTGTTATTTTTGGACTTGAGCAATAATAATCTAGAGACACTGCCACCACAAACAAGAAGAGTTGCAAATCTACAAACACTTATTTTAAATAACAATCCCTTAGAGCAGTATCAGCTAAGACAATTACCTTCTTTGGTGAACCTAGAAACACTGCACTTACGAAATACACAAAGATCCCTAAATAATTTCCCAACAAATTTGGAAGGTTTAGTTAATCTTGCAGATGTTGACTTATCTCAAAATATGTTACCAAAAGTTCCTGATGCACTTTACTCACTACCAAGCCTCAAAAGATTAAATTTGAGTGAGAATGAAATCACTGAGTTATCTACTGGTAATAAAAAACTTAAATTGAATCTATGTAATTAATTGCATTGTAATGTTATTATAGCTATTGAATTGTGGCAGAAATTGCAAACACTTAATTTATCACATAACAAACTTAAAAGTCTACCAGCTTCTCTATGCAAAATAACTACATTAAGGAGATTATATGTTAACGATAATGAAATAGATTTTGAAGGCATTCCATCAGGAATTGGAAAGTTAGGATTGCTGGAAATCTTTTCCGCTGCTTATAATCAATTAGAAATGATACCAGAAGGATTATGCAGGTAAATAAATAAATATACTGAAAAAAAATCTTAATGATTCCCATTAAAACTAAATTATTTTATATTTAAGATGTGGTTCATTAAAGAAGCTTAATCTCAGCAATAACCGCTTAATAACATTACCAGAAGCAATTCATTTATTAACAGATCTAGAATCTTTAACATTACATAACAATCCTGACCTAATAATGCCCCCAAAACCAAACGAAATGAATTCTAAAACAAGTCTGGAGTTTTACAACATAGATTTTTCGCTTCAAAACCAATTGCGATTGGCTGGAGCAAATGTAGCGCCACCTACTGCTAGCCAAAGTAAGTTTTATTAAATATTCTCGATGTTAGTTTTTTACTGTTTGGTTATTTTAGATTCGAGTAAAGATCCGATCGCAAGAAAGATGCGACTTAGAAGAGGAAAAAGAGACCAAGAAGAAGCTGACCAAGACCAAGCAAAAATCCTAAAGGTATTTAAGAAAAAAAAAGTCATTTTTATGCTTTAAGGGGGGGGGGGAAAGGGATATAGGTTAGATAATAATAGTAATAATTAAATAAGGGGTTACTAAAAAGAAGACCTTAAATAAGTTTAAAAATGCGTGATGTATTTCGTGGACAATAGTTCGGGAGTATTAATTATTTCATATATTTTTAAGGGAATGAAAGACATTGTGACGGAGAAAAATAAAAATAAACAAGAAGATGAAACCAGAGCCGAGTCTTTAAAGTAAGTTCTCTACTTTTAGGGTTTATACGTGCTTCATTTTTATTTTTTCAGACCAAAACGATGGGATGAAAAACTGGAAAAGCCACCACTAAACTACTCTGAAATATTTGAAGATGATGCAGGACAAATACCAGGGTTGTGCATATGGGAAATCGAAAATTTCCTTCCCAATCGCATTGATGAATGTACACATGGAAAATTCTATGAGGGTGATTGTTATATTGTATTAAAAACACTCCTTGATGACAGCGGATCATTGACATGGAAAATTTATTTTTGGATTGGCAAAAAAGCATCCGTAAGTAATAACTAATTACCCTGTTATACTAACATTTACTACTTGTTTAATTTTCAATAATGTATTTGGCAAGTATGTACAATTGTTTCACTCTGCGGAAAATATCTGAACGAGTTTGTTACACAATTGAAAACGTGAAATATGAGTTTCCAAAAAAGTATGATGGATATAGTTCAGCATTAAACAAGTTAAAATAAACCAGTAGTTTTTAATTTGAAGTATAACGTTTTTATTCAAAGTTTACAGAGAAAAATGGCAGATTAGATATTTTTTTATCATGAAATTATTCTTCAGAAGTCTTCATTATAAAACTTTTATTGCTTAAATAGGGTGATTTGTGAGAACAAAAAATATGTAGAAATGTTGACACGTATTAATAACTGACGAAGTTATTAGCTCTTGATAACATTTGTACTAAATAGAAAAGTATACAAATAATACCCAATTGTGTAGTCCCAAGCTGTTTTAGTAAATAAACTCTATGTTCGTTTTACCTTATTAAGGCATCTTCAGGGTTATATATTCTACTCAGATATGAAATGTTTGATTTTATGATGTTACGGCATTATCGCTCACTTCTATTGTTTCTTGAATTATATGGTAATAAGTATAATCAATTTACACCTAATTTTAAGTAATAATTTTTTTTTACGTTTCTATTTTTAGTTGGATAAGTTAGCGTGTGCTGCGATACATGCAGTAAATTTAAGAAATTACTTAGGTGCCCAGTGTCGTACTATTCGAGAAGAACAAGGCGACGAATCTGAAGAATTTTTGTCACTTTTTGATACTCAGATCACTTATATAGAAGGAGGAAGAACATTAAGTGGATTCTACACTGTTGAAGATATGGTAAAGAATATTTTTACTCTCATTAAATAAAAATTGAATTTTTATATCAATAAGAATTCATATCTTTTTATAAAATTGTTCACTTTCCTTCGAAATGTAACCTACTATTAAAACACTTCAAAGACTGTCATCTTTGAAACAATTATTTTGCATAGTATAGTATCTCTCTAGTAAAAATCGTTTTTGTTAAAATAATGTTCTTTTTTAATTCTAGATTTATGAAATTCGTTGTTATCGAATTCATGCAGCAGGTGCCTCAATTCACTTAGAGACCGTGGCAATTGCTCCGGAATCCTTAGATCCGGGTTACGTGTTTATGTTGGATGCTGGTCCTAAAATTTTCTTATGGTATGGAAAAACTTCCAAAAACACATTAAAATCGAAAGCTCGACTGATGGCTGAAAAAATTAATAAGAATGAACGCAAAAATAAAGCTGAAATATTGACAGAAATGATGGGAAAAGAGAGTACCGATTTCTTGCGAGTTTTGGGAATTCATGACGATGAGTATCGACTAGTTCCACAAGTAAGATTAATTGTTAAATGTGCATTACTTACCTACTTACATTTTCATAAAAATTTTTGCTCTCCAACAATACCTATGAAACTTTTTAAATTATCCTGTAATAAATACACACAATTAATTGAAAGAATGATGAAATTGAAGAAAGATTCAATTCGACTTTTCTCATAATTTTAAAATAAATTTGTAGATAGTGTATACAATAAAAATATGAAAATCTATGGACATAGGTCGCATTTACACTTCTCTGCTTTTATTGTCAATAAATAACTTTCGATTAAATTTAATATTATTGGCAGGAACATGTTGACCCGGATTTTGTTCCCGTTCAACCAAGACTGTATCAAGTGAGATTAGGAATGGGCTATTTAGAGTTACCTCAAGTGGAAATACCTCATGGAAAACTTACACAAAATCTTCTCAACAGCAAAAATGTGTATATTTTAGACTGCTATGTTGATGTTTTTGTATGGTAAGTGTAAAAAATGTACTTTAGATTTAATTTACATTTTTTGATATCTATTTATATTCATTTAAACACATAACATTAATTACTGATATTAAGTATTTAATATCTCCACTCGCATTAAATGTTTGTTAAAACATTCCTCAATTTCATTTAATCATTCAAATTTAATTTTGGCAATGATCGACCAGCTCATTACTTTTTTACTGTTTTCGCCCATCAATTTCAATCATCTTCAGGCACTGGTAATAAGTATTAAGCAACTGAGTATGATAAATTATTTTAATTATTGTGACTAATTACGTTTCATTATTAAGTTATTAATCATATATAAAAAATTGCATAGATATTCGTTTTCTAGAATGTTGGCAAATTATAAGTGTCTGTCATTTTTTAATTAGTCGCTTTATAAAACACCATGTTAAAAAAAATGGCATGTTTAAGTCTATATCTCTAATCTGTACCGTTGACGCACTTTAAATTGTACTGTGTGTGGTATAAATAAGAAGTATACAAAATTTTATGATATTTATATTTAATAACGTTTTCGTGAGTTTATTACCTTAAAATGTAATTTAAGGGAACCATATTCTCATACATGTATGTATGCAAATATTTGTATTTGTTTATAATATTTAATCGTCTTTTGTAGGATAGGCAAAAAATCTACAAGACTAGTAAACGCTGCCGCAGTAAAACTTTCAGAAGAACTGTTCAACATGATTGATCGTCCCGATTTTGCAATGGTCACGAGGGTTCGAGAAGGAACTGAATCACAGGTACATCCTTTAAACACTTCCTTGTTTTAGATTTAAATGATACAAATAAGAATGTATTTCCATTAGTACAAAAATTATAGCTAACAATAATTGTAATGTGCAGGAAGTACATTGTGGTTAATTTTGTTTTATGTTAGAATCGTACATGCGGGTCAAAAATCCATTTTTTCCGAAATTAAGTTTACCGTAAATACTGCTCTCAGTTGTTAGTTGCAGTAGTTTAAAAAAATATTATTGTAGTTACAATTTGTATATTGTTCACGTCACATTTTTATTTTTCAAATTTTAAAGTTACTCAAATGTATAACAGGAAAAATATTATATTTCTGGCATTTATAATTTTGAAGAGAAAAAACAAAAATATATTCCCAAAGTTTCCCAAAAAGCAACTGAATATTTTTCGTGAATGGATTTCTAAAAACTTTGTTAATAATACATGTGTATGTTTTTTATTTGTAGGTTTTTAAATCAAAGTTTGTCGGTTGGGATGAAGTAATTGCGGTTGATTTCACGCGAACAGCCGAATCGGTACAAAAAACTGGAGCTGATTTGAAAAAATGGGCAATGAAACAGGAAACGAAAGCAGATCTGACGGCTCTTTTCCAACCACGACAGCCACCTATGCCTCTGACCGAAGCTGTTCAACTTATGGAAGACTGGAATGAAGATCTTGAAGCAATGGAATCATTTGTACTCGAAGGAAGAAAATTTGTGCGACTACCTGAAGAAGAATTAGGTAATGTAATTTTCCCTTTATTTGCATTCAATTAGAACAGTTACGACCCAAGGCTTAATAAAACAAAATTAATTAATCTCAAGTCTTAACAGTTGGTCTAGTGTTACTCGTCAATATACTAAAATCGAATTGTTTGTACAACAGTTTTCTACGTTAGTATTGAACGCTTCCAAAGAATTGAAGTCATTGTTTTTATTACAGTATTCTATTATTAATTTCTTACAGAATTTTAGTTTTTAACTAGTCGTAACTTTTTAAATAACAGGGTCAAATCAAACGAAATAAATAATACTATTTGATTTTTACCATTTAGCACAGCATCTAATATTTTGAAAGAGAGTTATTGAGTTACTAGACCTTTTGAAAAAGAGTTTTTGAGTTCTTTCTTACTAAAACTTTAGAGTGATATCACATCACATGACATACAAACAATCTGCATTAAGTTTCATCCATATTTAATAGTTCCTAGTTCTAAGAAAAACGGCTGTGACAGACGGACGAGGAAGAGTTCAGTTAGGGTTACGGAAATCTAGTCACTCCCTTAACAAGCTAGCAAATAATGAAACATCTGTTAATTTTAGTTATTAATACAATATTTTTTGTGTTCAGGACATTTTTATTCGATGGAGTGTTATGTGTTCCTTTGTCGTTACTGGATACCAGCTGATGATGCAGACGAAGGAGAACCGCTAGAAGAAGACTTTCAATGTGTCGTGTATTTTTGGCAGGGTCGGGAGGCATCCAACATGGGCTGGTTAACATTCACGTTCACGTTACAAAAGAAATTTAAAGCTCTGTTCCAAAACAAACTAGAAGTTGTTCGAACACATCAGCAACAGGAAAATATGAAGTTCATGGCACACTTTAAGAGGAAGTTTATAGTACATCAAGGAAAGCGCAAACAAAAAAACGACAAAGCTGTTGAGTTGTATCATCTCCGGTCGAATGGAAGTGCATTGTATACAAGGCTTGTGCAAATAAAACCAGATGCTGCTGCACTTAATTCTGCTTTTTGGTAAGTAATAAATGCACTTTGATAAACATTTATATAATAGAAGATTAAATATAATATGTAAATACTAATAGTTAATAATACAACATTTCGGGTTAATAGATTTTAATAACCTTGCACGTCTTTAAAGTGACTTTCCACTTTTCACATTCTGGCTTCAGACTTGAGTTAGAACATTTTTTTTTTAATATACGTCTGTATTAAAATGACTATTGCCATGCATATTAAAAACTATGATGTACTCAACACATAAATTTTATGTGGCGAACATCTCACTTTTTAGAATAACTTATCAACAAATCTTTTATGAAAAAAAAAATGTTTATATGTTTAGTTACATTTTGAAAGTGCCATTCGATCAGGAAGATTCCGGACTGGTTTATGTTTGGATTGGCTCAAAAGCATGCGAAGATGAAGCACATTTAATCCAAGAAATTGCTGAAGAAATGTTCAATAATCCGTGGGTAAGTTTACAAGTAATTAACGAAGGCGAAGAACCGGACAACTTCTTCTGGGTTGGTATTGGAGGTAGGAAACCGTATGATACAGATGCGACATACATGGCGTACACACGCCTGTTCAGGTGTTCCAATGAGAAAGGTTACTTCATTGTGTCCGAAAAATGTTCCGACTTTTGTCAGGTAATTGTTTTAAATAATTTTAGTATATCGATATTGGATTTTTAATGTAAATTATTTATTCAATTTTAGGATGATTTAGCAGATGAAGATATAATGATATTGGATAACGGCGAACAAGTTTTTCTTTGGTTAGGTCCGAAATGTAGTGAAGTTGAAATTAAGTTGGCTTATAAGTCTGCACAGGTAAGAGACATTAATGAGGATTAATTTACCATATTAGGCGCTTTTTTAATAATACTTTTATGAATTATTCTTTCTTAAATACTAAATTTTTTATGTGTTGTTTAGGTATATATTCAGCACACGAGAGCCAAACAACCTGACAAACCAAGAAAACTTTGCCTTACTCTTAAAGATAAAGAATCCAAACGCTTTACAAAATGTTTTCATGGATGGGGTCCTCATAAGAAACCACCAGCATAAATTTAAATGTTAGAAATTAAAATATCTTTCTATACAATGTAGTATTAACATTATTTATATACTTTTATACTTCCTATAAATTTATTTATACCAGATCATGAACAAGTACTTATATATTATTGATTTAAATTTGTATATCATTTTTTGTGAGTGCACTATTAATTATTGTTATACTCAATTTAATTTGTTTATATATCGTAATAAGTATTCAATACGTGCCTTATAATGTTAATAATTTATTTCAAAAAACGTTATGGAATAAAGTTTTCTTTTTGATTTTATTTTGTTAGTTTTCTATAGCCTGTTTTAAAAATAACGAAATTTGATTTGTAAATTTAATTATCAAAACAGTAAAATTTAAAAATTACAACATCTAACAACAACAGTATAATAATAACAATGTAAGAACTACTTGGATATACACAAGGCGTTTCAAAAATATTACAGGAAATATGTCTGGCAAGGTTTTCCAATATAATCTGCAATGAATGCAATATTTCCAAATATCATGAATATTGAAATTTTTAATTGTTAATTTTTTTACTTAGATACTAATTGTTTTCTTGCAAAATTTTTGGAACACCGTGAAGTGCAGATATATGTATAATCACGTTTGCAACAATAAAATAAATATTTGCTAGATAAATATAACTTAAAAAATAATTGGATAAGGATCTAACCATTAAAATAAAGGCGTAAAAAAATAATAGATGAAGCTGTTACAGATTTCACATTTTTTTTAGTAAATGCTTTGTGAGTACCGTAGGTTACTCAGTCTAGGTACACCTTTGTTTTCGTTTTAATCCAAAGAATTGTTGCTGATTGCGAGATAAAGAAAATATCTTTAGCAACTATGCCAATATAATTAAAGGAAAACATTCTTTGTGAAATTAAACAAAATAATGAAACTAGTAGAATATACAGCCATGGTACAAATCATTTTAAGACTAAAATTTTAAAATTAACAAGTGTAAAGTAAGATAAAAAAAAAAGTTTTCACTAAGTTTGTGTAATGATTGACTCAATCAATTTCACTGTTTAAAATGTTATTATTTTTATTACTTAACCTTACTGTTTGTTACATTTTTCCGGAAAAACACCTAAAATATTTACTGTTGAGATTTTATTTCAATAATAAGGGATTTAAACTTTTCAACGTTTTTTAATAATTAAGAAAACTGTAAATAACGTCGACAAGAATGAGAAACCTGAACTCATTGGAGGAAAATTCATATATATTTTATGAGCACATACTGTTTTATTTCTATTTTTTTTTTCGACTATAAAGAAATCGTGTATAACACCCTGTTCCATCCTAAAATATTTTGGAAATTGAGTATTCCCTCTATATGTATATTAACACTTAAATATTTCTGCAACAAATATAGGGAGTTGCATGCATGAAAGCTATCTGTAGTCTTCAGTTGAATGAGAGCTTTTAAGTTTAACTATTTTATTCATTTGTTTTTGAGATATATTTGGCTTATCCGGTTTTTCTTTATTATCTCATTTAAGTATATAGATTTTGCTATATTGTTCAGATTTCTTCTTAGTATACATGTTTAAAACACAATATGAATGCATTTGAGCCGGTCAAATACAAAAGATTTTCATTTACGCTTTCCTATGGAGAATTAAAAATGTAATATTTAAAACAGTGTGGTTCGTTTTTATCAAATAATAAACATATATGATATATGTATGTATACACATACTGGGAATATAAATA